GGAGTAGGAGGTGATGCAACAGATTTATCCTTGAGGTTGCTCTCAGCAGTCCTCAACAAGCCCTGAAGCTTGCTCAAGGAGACCTCTTCCTTATTCATGTGGTAGGTCATGTGGAACTGGCTATAGCAGGAAGGCAATGAGTGAAGGATGATGTTAATTGCCAGCTCTTCATCGAAGTTCACATTCAACTTCAGCAGGCGATCAACATATCTCTGCATCTTTTGCAGATGGGCGGTAAGGGACTCTCCATTACCCATTTTTGTAGTGATCATTGAAGTGATGATCTCATACCTTTCTTGCCTAGCGCTCTGGTGGTAGTGTTCCAGCAGATCCTGATGCATCTCATAGGGGTACTTGTCCTCATAGGACTTTTGAAGTTCAGCAGTCATAGTCGCGAGCATGATGCAATGGACTTTCGTGGCATCACGCTCGTGGGCCTCGTAGGCCGCGATCTCATCGGCAGTAGCAATTTCGATATCAATCTCCTTTAGCTTCTCGTCGAGGACATATTCTTTGTCCTCGTAGCGAGTGACCGTGCGAATGTTGCGGATCCAATTACTGAAATTGGTCCCATCAAGTTCATGAGTGAGAATGAACCAGAGGAGTTTGACCCAGAAGCGTTGTTGTTTGCGTTCGACATCTGAAAAGGAAAAAGGAACAAAGTTGATTAGAAATGAATTTCCCCAATTAATCACCCAAATGAGAAATTAGGGCTAGGAACCAACAACATTATTTACAAATTAGAAAAGGGATGCCGTAATCTAACAAGTAAATAATTTGAAGGCAAGTGAATGTCGATTCACTAATTCTCCTCCATGAAAAACGAAAAAATTAGGTTTTAAATGTATTGAAAACTCCTAGATCTTTTGAGATACATTGAACTTTTCAATGGCATGTTTAAATCTCGATATGCCCCTCTCGTTATGACTGGGATGCCGAGGATCACAAAGTGGGTGTGAATAACCATGCAAATGTACATGGTGCCCTCATTGTTACAGTCACCTATTCGATGTGCTGGTTAACCATACATGCTCCATCGAACTATGACAAACAATGAGTCACCCTTTGCTACTATTCCTTAGAACCCAATTAATGTGCCGGTTAACCACATGCGCTCCATTAACGTCTTAGCAAGGGTACAAAGTGTAATTTCATGGAATTGCATCAATTCACTTTTGCCTAAAATAACTAAGATTGGGAATTTTATGAAAACGTTTTAGTTACTTTATATAGATTCATTATACTTTTAATGAGGAAAGGTCTGCCCGATCCTACCCGTTCGGCTAACAACCTCCACCAATCAAGGAAGCGGTGGGTGAGAATGGACACTCATTAAACGACCATTTTATAAGCCATAACCTTATACCCCACTTATAGATCGGCTTCGTGAATGAGGCCTACTAACGGTAAGACTAGCATTTAAGTTATACGTATATATATTAATCTTATAATACTATAAGTATAAGGTTGAATTTTAAAACTTGTAAAATTCCAAGGTTTGAAATTTAAATAGTCCAAATTAAAACTTTTAATCACAAAACTTTAAATTTCAAAACTTGATGACAAGTTTTGAACTTTTCAAAACATAAAGGATCAAATAGCAAATAATATAAATCAACTAATTAATTTAGTGATTATCTAAATTTGACCTAGTCAATATTACTTGCAAGACAATCCACCAATTAATTCAAATAATTAATTATTATCACATAAGGAAATTATTATTTAACTAAATGGTAATTATCTTTTGTTTTGTCAAGGATATAGTCAAATATATGATAAAATTCGTATTTTATTGACCCAAAACGATTAAGGAAAGTATCCTCAAGCAAAACAACAAGAAATCCTAAAAATCACTCTAACAGACGCTTGGACTCGCCGAGTACCATCATGGACTCGCCGAGTTCATGCTACTTGCCGAGTCCACAATGGGACTCGCCAAGTCTGTCAGTCAGGGGCACAAAAAATCGATTTTTCATGGCAAGAACTATCAAACAATGCATCAATTCAATAGAAATTAATCTAAGCTCTGATACCACTGATGGGTTTGAGCCATAAGAACTTTCCTATGTGCACATGCAAACCCTAATTCTTGGATCTAGGTTTCTCTAATTGAACATGCAATGTATCCACGACTTTCAATGCTAGATCTAGTGAATACAATTGAAACATAACATATGAAATTAGATCTAGATGAATACCTTTTGATTGCTTGCTTGAATCTTCTTGTTCTTGGAGCTTAGAGTCACAATTGTCACTCCTCTAATGGCTTACAAACACCAACTAGCAAGAGGTTGATTTGGAGAGAGAGGAGAGGTGTAGAAATCGGCTCTAGGGTTCCCAAGGAAGCAAGGTGGTCGATTTCTCCAACCCATAGGGTCTATTTATACCATGAGCTACTAGGGTTACATCCTTAACCCTAATTGAATAACTTAGGCCTTAAGCAATCCAATGATCCTTCTAGAGTAAGGCTTGGACGAATTCAAGGAGCCCATACTCCTTAATTTCGGCCACCCCTAGTTCTATAAGGATTCATAGCCCAAAAACACAACTATCACACAATTGACAGTTTAAGCCCCTTTATTCAATTAACCTCTTTTAGTCACCAAATTAATTCCTAATTAATTTATGACTAATATTAATTAAATAATATTATTATTCCTTTAATATATTATTCTCATAATATATTAATATAATAATGTCTCTTCTCTCTTCATAAATCACCCTGTCAAGTTGCTATGGTGAAGGCAACCCAAAAGGACCATGCACAACCGGGTCAAGTACTTACCAAATATAGTTACGTGCTTAGACACTAATCCAACAGTACTCTCATTGAAATTTGATATGATGAATTTGAGAACTCTAAGATGTTTTATGGCATCTTAGTCACTCCAATAATACATCAAATATCATGTTCCTTAATCAATGAAAATACACTACGATCATCATCTAATGTACCAAAAATGAAAAGCTACAAAGTTATACTCATCCGGTTGAAAAAGGTTTAAACTCAATGCCAATTTCACATTCTCTCATCACTAATAACTCCATCTAACAAAGATTAGTTGGGGGCTCTAATCTATGTCACTTTCACTTACCTTAAAATTGAATATGTGGTTCAACAAATTTGCTCTTCCATTCATGTTCCATGCGAACTGCACTTTACCATCTTAAAATGCAACATCCGCTAACCCAACGACACCCTTGACTACAACCTCAATTTATACCCATCTACCCCATGTTTTTTTTAATAGCAAGAAAGGAAATTCTATAAGAAGAAAAGATAACGGGAAGCTAGAATTAAAAGTGGCTTAGGCAAGCTTGTGTAGGGCCATTACACCAAGTACAACAACATACCCTATCACCTCTCCAAGCCCTATTTTTCAACGAAAAGAAAGCTATAAACTGTACCTCACTATCGCGACCTTGAGTGCTCTCACCTTGTTAAAAACTATGTAATTTCGATAGCTCCAAACCACCTATTGCAAGATTGATAACGTTTGCGATTTTACCTATGTTCGAATCAATAATGGTACCTGGCAAAATCTAGAACAAGCTGTCGATTGTGTTATGGATAAGCAATACCGTAGCTTTCCACTGTTTAAGGAAAGAATCAGCAACATTATGTGTCTTATTGGGAGATTCTAGAAATACGTGCTCTTTAGTTTCCTGTTGCATGTTGCATAAGGGACAAATATCAGATAGAATATTCACCCCTATATAAAGGAGATTCGTCTGAGTAACGAGCCTTAATTTAGTTCTCCATACCAACAAGTTCACCTTTCCAGGTAGGGGTGTTCGTTTGGATGGATCGGTTTGATCCGATCCAATTAAGTAAATCCAAATTGATTTCGGTTTTCAAAATATGGATCCGAATAGTCCAAACTAAAATCAAATCCGATCCGATCCGATCCAATTACAATTCGGTTGGATCTGTTTTTTTATTCGGTTTTCAAAAACTAGAACATTTTAAAACGACGTATAATTATAATATAATCCAACTTTTACAGAAGAAGTAAAAACAAATTTTTAGTTGTGATTTAAAATTTATAAACAATTACTAATAATGTATATTATAGTTTAACATTTAATAGATAAATTTTTTTTTGAGAAAATTCATATTAATGTTTTTTATTAGGTGAAACTTTTTGAACTTATTTGAAAAAATAAATTATAAAATTAATAAATACTATAGATATATTAAAAATAAATAAAAATAAATTGTTATTTGGTTTTTTTGGACTATTCGGTTCTTATTTTATAATCCAAAACCAATCCGAAATCCAAAATAATAATTCGGTTTTGTTGTAAACCAATCCAAAAACACGAATATCCGAACCAAATAGTCCAATCCAAATTATCCAATTGGACAATTCGGTTTTATCCAAATAGTGAAGAACCCTATTTCCAGGGACTAATCGGTTCCAAATGGTTTTCATTTGCATCTAATCCAAATAGTTGTTGTCAAGGAGATGTTTTAGAGAGGAAACCATGAAAGAGTCGTCCCTTTCTACATTCCAAATTTATTGGTTATTTTGTAGTTAAAGGTAATCAGTAAAAAGAGCCGCCATTTTCTGCGTTCCAAAATGTTTTGATTTTCATCTGATCTAAATAGTTGTTGTCAATGAGATGTTTTAGAGAGGAAATTGTGAACGAGCCGTTGTTTTCCAGCATTCCAGCTGCCCCACTTACCTCATTTTCTCTATGTATGTTGATTGGGGAAGATGTACTGATACTAGACAGTCCACCCCAGGGTTTTGTTAGAAATAAAGATTTCGGAATAACAATTAACAATTGTACATTACTTTGATCGTGATTATATTACTTTCCGAAATCTATAATTTGTCCTTTATAGCCGAGGGTTACACAATTTCAGAAGTAGGATAATCCAAGAAATTTGGTTTTGGATTACATGTCTAATCCAAATTTATAAAACACATAATACCTTGTGGTGATTTGTGTTCTAAAGAGACATAGAATTGCTATTGATCAATTTTGTGTATAAAAATTATCAACCCTTTTCCTGGAACATTCACCTTGCATTTATATAAGGAAAAAAAGTGGTTAAATGTTGGTTACACCAAATTGGCGCCAAAAGAGGGTAGTTATTGGACAGAATTGTTGCCTACATCATCATGATGTCATCATTAGGTTTTGACAGGAAATCTATGTTCATACCCTTTCTTGCTATAGAAAAGCGAAACCACCGTAAGGGGCTATGCTCTTTGGACCCCGTAAGGGGCACTACCCCTAGACCCCGCCAAGGACGCTGCCCCTTGGAACCCTATACCCAAGGGCACTGCCCCCGGACCCTATATACCCGATTCCACATTTAACAATCCGTGTGTGCATTCCAAACCTCTAGGCTCGAATGGTAAACTGAACTCAACTAGTCTCGACAGTAATTATAATTACATTATATGCTGATAACACTAAAATTACCAAATGTATTGTGTGATTTTGGGAGACAAATTAGTCTCATTATCCTCCGAATGAGAACTCACTACTCCCACTTTGGTAGGGTTCAATCCCATTTCGATTTCAGATTCTTCATACTTCTCCTATATATACATCTATAATGGAATGCAAAGGGCAGGCAGTTTAATACCAAACTTTAAAAAGGAAAACCAAGTTTTAAGCTAAGACTGGAAAATGAATTGTGGTGTAATTCTGAAAGAATATCATGTTTCTCTTAGTATTGTGGCTTATAACATTCAGGTGCCATCTTCCCATTAAAAACGCCAATAATCTGTGCAGTAGTTATACACCATGTAGTTATCTCTAACCCATTTGAGATTGACCTGCTGATCCGAACTCAGTTGCTTGTAGACATTGGAGGTCCACCAGTTAGCTGGGGTAGGATAGGTACACTGGATAATGCTAAGGGGTCCGTTCCACTTGCAAGCTCTTGCACTGAATTTACGGAAAGATGCCATGAAAGGTGCACAGGTCCAGTCGATTTTGACCAGCCCGCCTCTTGTTGCCCAGTTATCTCCATTCCACAAACTAGAATAGACCTTCATTCCTTGTTGGTCTGGGAACCCAATTCCTTCGCTTCTATAGTTTCTGAAAACCCTAATGGGTATACTATCAACATACCACCTGCATTTATTGTCATGATCTAACCTTTTAGTAACTTCTAGTCTGTACGTAAACTAAGCATTTATTGCAAAAACTAAGTTAATTAAGGAGTGCTTATTTTTGTAAACTTACACTACTGCGTTAGGGTTCCAGTGAATGGTATAGTTGTGGAAATCGGCAGTTGGATCAAACCAAAAGGTGAACTCCTGCTCCCTATTTGCTTTTCCTTGGAGAAAGATGTTTGTGTGCATGGTGTAAGGTTGTCCTGATGAGTTTCCTAAGAACTCAAAGTCGATCTCATCATGATATTTTCCTGTAGAGGAAAGCTGCAATGATTCCACATAAAAGTGTGAGCATGTTAAGTATGTGTATGTGTGTGTTGTATGTGGGGTTTTTTTAAACATTGATTACAACTACTTAAGGCTAAATACAAGAAAATAGCAAGCGTACTATTATTATTTGTTTATTATAACATCCTATTTTTTTTTCTTTCTAATAACAATATTGTACTTTCAACTTTTTATTCATATTAACGATTTATACTTTGATAAATGTAGTACTGTATCCAATTATAGCTTTGTAGTTTCGATTTTTTTTCTTTTAGGACATTGTACTTTGGAAAATCTACCAACTAAAGCAATGAAAACTGATTTGTATCCCGATGATATTGCTATAATTTGGAAGATTTTTCAAAGTATAATGTTGTATAGGAAGAAATGAAGTTGGATGCTATAACAAACAAATAAACCGAAGTAGCGTTCATATTTCTTGCATTATATTTATCCCTATTGCATCCCTTGTATCTTTCTTGTTATCGAACATACATAAAATGCTGTGACAGTTCCTGCAGAGTTGCCTGGAACTAACTTGATTAGCATCTCAATGCTTCCATAAAGGAATGTGTTGTGTGATTGAACACCGGATCCTGTAATTGGAGTTAGATCAGTAATCATTGTTTAAATGATGCTACTCGCAGGAGAAAATTAGCATTGGGGTTTGACTTTTTAAGAGTCTAATGGATTTGCATCTGAGTGTTTCCAAAATAAAAAAACGTAAACATGAAAGTGAAGATGAATGATATGTACCTGAAACACGATCCAGAACCAGATTAAGATCACCATTGCTAAAATTGTATGAATGCTTGGCACCCCAGTTGAAGGACATGTCATTGTAAGAGTATCCATGGACAAGGCATGGTTGGAAAGCAGTTAGTGAGATAAATGCAACTGCAAACAAAGCCTGGAAGCTTCTCATCTCAACTAAGCAGAATGTAATCATGTATTATGATTTTCTACTTTTATATGTAGTTTGCACAGACAATGCTCTTTTCATTAATTGCTTCTTGAAATCTTATAAAGCCTTTGTCTAGTATACGTATATTCTCTGGGCATGATGACCCTTGCCCCATTACTTTTTCTTTCAAGATATTTTATATTTTTTGACTTTGTCTTTCATTTAATATTCCCTAAGGATTGTACATGATTGATGATTTTAGAAGCACTATCATTACATGAGATTCTACAAATCATACAACTGATATGTCTACAAGGATATAAACAAATTCTACCTTTTAGATTAATCGTTTTTTTTACATGAATAAAGTTACTGAAATGCGAATCTGATCATTGCCCCCATAGTCTTAAACTTCAAACAGTATCAACACACATATATCTAATTCAAACAGTCAATGATCTCTGTATATTTGATGGATAATTTGGTTTATATGACTTGTTAAGGATCATATTAGACTTTTGTATTTCATATCTGTTACTTGATTAAATCTGTTATACCACAAAAAGAAAATGGAAAAGAAAAATAAAAAAAACGAGAGGGAGGGAGCTCAAGTTTGAGGAGAAAAGTACGTGCATAGCACTAAGAACAATACATTTATTAGCCAGCTGTGAATGAGCTTGTAAACAGCGGATGAAAGGGAAAAAAGTTGGGCTAATCTTTCTTTTAAAAACCGGTTCGAACCGGGAACCGGAGGTGTCGACGGTTCGATTTGGACCGGTTTTATAACGATTTCCTGTTCGGATTGAACCGGACAGTCTTGGATTTTTGTGTTTGTTTTGGGCTTCTTTGTTTGATTTTGGCTTCTATAATGATTATTTTTATATGCTGCATTCTATTTATTGTTTGTAATACTAAAAAGATGACAAGTTTTGTAATCAATGTATGTAGGATAATTAAAAACATATAAAAATATAGAACCGGTTTGACCATCCGGTTGAACCGGAAAACGTCACCCGACCTGTTCAATTAAAAAACCGGTTTTTAAAACATTGGGGTTAATCAAATCCAATGTTTTAAAAACCGGTTTTTTAATTGAACCGGTCGGGTGACGTTTTCCGGTTCAACCGGTTTAACCGGTTCAACCGGATGGTCAAACCGGTACTATATTTGTATATGTTTTTAATTATTCTACATACATTGATTACAAAACTTGTCATCCTTTTAGTATTACAAACGATAAATAGAATGCAACATATAAAACAATCATTTTAGAAGTCAAAATCAAACAAAGAAGCCCAAAACAAACACAAAAATCCAAGACTGTCCGGTCCATTCTGGTTCAATTCAGCCAGTTGAACCGGTTTTTTACCAAAACCGGCCGGTTCAATCCGGTCAGGAAATCGTTATAGAACCGGTCCAAATCGAACCGTCGACACCTCCGGTTCCTGGTTCGACCGGTTCAACCGGCCGGTTCGAACTGATTTTTAAAAGAAAGAAATGACTTCCTACTTTTTATTAAAAGAAAGAATTGTTGATATGTTATTGTAGAACACTAATTAATAACTATCTTATGCCTTAAAAAAACAACTATACTATGGTTTTATTAAGGGTCAATGTCATAAATGAAATATATGTCAATTTATTCTTTAAGCGAGTTTCTTTAGAACAGCACTTCACATACATTCTAATTAGGAGTGCACCCCAAATTACTATAAACACAACCTTTACTAGAAAAACACTCATCCTAGTAATTAAATAATGACTAGTCTATTTATATCCATCATAAAGTCTTGTCATATCCCTCAATTTTAATATTATATAAAACTATTTATTTTATTTTTATTATAATAAATAAAAAATTATATTTATTATTAATATATATATATATATATATATATATATATATATATATATATATATATTAAAAATGTCCAAACTTAACAACAGTAAACTTCCTATTATTTTGTTTATTTTCCTCCTTCTACTTTCCGTATTTCTCTTTTGGGTTATTTTTTACTATATGTTTGGTCTTTTGGGTTATTTTTTTTGTCAAGGACTGATTGGGCGATTTTTTTTTCTTTTTTAGAATAATCTTTTGACCGGCTGTGATTCGCATCTACAATTACAACGATCTATGTATTCCACCGTTACTGTACGCCAATAGCAATGTGATTGGTGTCACCTACTCAAATATAGAGCACTCCTTGATGCTTACTCTACCCTCTACTCCCTCCACCGCCAACCTTCTACCCTATGCATACATACAAGTTTCCTCCGACCTTCTTCTACCCTCTGCTCCCTACACCGCTGCCCTAGAAACAACCTGCTCTGTCGGATTTTGCCGTAACCCTTTCAAGTCACCACCATCTTCTCCGATAGCATCTGCTCTACTTCTCACCGCCTTACTCTTGCTAATTCTATGAATTAGTTAACCTTTCGCTCACCTTCTGGATTTCCCCGGGGTTAATCCACCCACCGACTCCACCACCTCTATTGTTCTCTAGTACCGCCACCAGCCATCCCCATTCATCCACACTAACCAACAAAAGTGTATCAGGAGTTTCCGACGATTGCAACGGTAGCGCTGTAGCAGAGGAACCTCAGATATCGTTCTACTTGCTTCTTTCTTCTCCTAATTTGTTGCCTAATCGTGGCGTTTTTTTGTAACAACGATTGTTCACATCTTCCCAGGTCTCTCGCTGTTGTTACTACCGATAATTGACTCTTCGATTTTCAGTCTCCTCCTTTTCGTCGTCTTCTTCGTATGCTCTCAATTCCTACTGCTAATCGGTCCTTTATTTTGCGTTTTCTCTGATGGAACCGATTTAGCATCGCCATTTACATTCGCTGGTGAAGTCCAACTGCTGAATAGATGGTTTGAAGGTTGGTCTCTGCAACCAACGTATCCAACGAGTGTGGGCTCAAAAGAAACCGAGCTTAGTAAGTCTACTTCACTTCGATTTCAAACCTGTCGCGTCCAATGTTATTAGAAACCCTGACTCTTTTATCATTTCATCCCTATATTTTGCATTCTCTATGGGATTTTGTTATGAGATATCTACCTGCAAATATGGCGACTTAATTGAGCAAAAACCGAAAGGTTTGTCTCACCAATCACCTTTAGAAGTTGGTGTGATGTCTATTTGTCATACATCTTAGTGTACTTTGTTTTTGTGTATCAGTTTGTAGCAGATGGAAGAAGAGTATGATGAATGTCATGGCTTGGCTAGGCCCAGAAACAACTACCTTAGAGGCTAGATATGGTATAAGGTACCTGAAGACATGGAGATTGGGCTAGAACTAAATGAAAATAGGTAAGTATCCAGGTTCGATGTATCTGGTTTTTCTGAAGCAATAAAACCCTAAATGTGGGTGTGCATAGTGTTGATGCTAGATGATTCTGGTTTATATGTTTATTAATTTTAGTAAAAAAAATTGCATTGATAACCCGATGCTAATGGATGACATGCCTAACTTGCTCCCTGAACTTAGACCATATCAAAGGCGTGCAACTTTCTGGATCGTCTTGATTATGGTTTATATGTTATTGTGTTAGTTCATCAGTGGATATTTTGGACAAATATACCCTTGCTCCTTTGTTGTTGTTCTGATCGTCTTGATTGCAATGTCAGTCGTGTTTACCCTTGCTGAACATTATTATATGTATGACTATCTATCAAATCTCTAAACTAACCTTATGAAGGAATTGTACAGGTGAAGAACCCTAAAAGGGATTTGCCTTTGGGAATTGGGGATGTACTATCTATATGCTGCATGTTATACATGTTAGTGAACCGAGAGTCCACTATTTCACTCCATATGTTTGCTGCAAATTTGTAATGATAATATGTATATTTTTCAGGATATGGAGGTGCATTACTTTCGAACTTGCAAGTTTTTTAAAAGATCATTTTACAGATTTCATGTTTCTACTAACAATTAGCATACTACATTGTTACCAGTTTACCTCAAAGCATATTATCATGCACATGGATTAATGCAATACTCAAGATCCGTTCTTGTCATTCAAAACATTGGTCATCAGGTTAGTAATTAGTTTCGTTTCACCAGATTCCTACAACTGATTCAGATTCCAATCCTACTCAATCACTCATTAACAATGAATATTCTCTTTCTTTCTAAATGCCTTCAAGGTGTTCGATAAAATGTCTAAGAGAAAGAAAACACATTTCTTATCAATTTCAGAGACAATCGGGGTACACATTTCTTAGCAATTTCACTCCATAATATAATAAAACAACAACTGGAAACTAACCTGTAATAATTTGATTTTAATTTCACCCTGCTCTATTTCTTTCTTATGGTTTTGTTGTTGTATTGATTTGTTTTTCATGTTTCAACAGTTTGTGTCGTCTTCTAAATAGTTTAAATATCTCCAGGCCACTCCTTTTATCATACTTGTAAATGTTATATTCATTTCTTTCCATTAATATTTGGTATTTTATTTGAATACTAATGAAATTCAACTGCAAATGTTTCATTTTGATGCTTGGGTTATTTTATTTATATATTCTTTCTAGATTTCCCTGTTAGGTGAATGTTTTATGAATTTTAAATCATAACATATTTACTTATGTGGTAAAAAAATTGAATAAAAAAATATGGAATGATACATGATCTAGAAAGTACGTAACATATATGTTTCACAGTCTTATTTATCCTTTGTCATTTTGGGTGGGTAAATAATCCTTTTCACATTTTGTCATTTTGGTTGTAGCCTCAAGCGTATCTTGCTTTAACTTTTAACTGGGGAGCCTTACTAGGATGGTCTGCCATTATAGAGGAAGTCTAGGACTCTAGGTCCTGCTGTCGTTTTGCTTCCGTATCTTTCTGATGTATTCTCCACACTTGTCTACGATACAATACGCACACCAGGTAAAAGAGAGTTAACTTAAAGGTATACATGCTAGATTGTTCATTCATGTTGATTACACATATATACATGATAAAGAAGATGATAAGTTAGTGAGAGCTAATTCTATAACCTTGAGATTTGGGATTCCACAAAGAAATTGGTCACTGGATTTGGAGTCGCTTCTATTTGTAACCTTGTGCTCAGTGGCTTCAACACAAATCTTTTGGTATAAGC